CCCCCCCCCCCCCCCCCCCTCCCTCTGTCGCCTGCAACCTTTCTTCAACCGGATTGGCAGTCGTTCAAGTGGTACCTGGAAATCTTGAGGGCCGGACTGTTCACAGAGTGAGTGGTGGATCCTCGTGTATGTTTATGTTCAACTCCACTAAGCAGCGCAAAATTCGACGTCTACAACCCTCGCACATGTCATTAGGAGCAATCGAGGGCAATTTCGTTGTATACACGATGCCGTGCCCCCCTGGACTCGTGGGACGCCAGAAGACAACCCATGCCCGAGCCAGCCTGCCATCTAAGACTACGCCGCCATGTAAAGCACACCCAGAATCCGCCGGCATCTTGACTTTAACACATCTCCCCCATGAACGTGCAGATTTTGGGAGGAGGCTAAGACAGGGATGCCTCCCTTTATGGATCCAGCCGTGTACGGTAGAAGCCCCCTTGAAATGGCCTCCTTCATCGTCAGCAGCGCGTTCCCGGACCCTGACATGTGGGGATCGGGTTACCTGGCCCGCCTCAGCGGGTCCACGGCGGAGCTTCTCAGCGTGCTGAACCTCGCCACGGCCGGGCCGGAGCCGTTCATAAGCACAAACGAGGGACTCAGCCTAGAGTTCACGCCTGCCCTGCCCGAATGGATGTTCACAATCGAAGGAAAGGTTTCCTTCACATTCATGGGCGGCGCTAACGTCACGTACCACAACCCCCGCGGCCTCGACACCTGGCACGAAGACTTCGGCGAAGTTTCAAAGATGGTCGTGAGGCTAGCGGGCGACGGTACCATCGCCGGGGGCGATGCGGGCGAGGACGGCGGACAAGGGGTCATCACGTGCCCCCTGGACGATCTTGACCCTGGTCAGGACGTCGTCCTGGAGCTCGACAGCGGTGTGCTGCCTCCGCCCTACGCGGAGATGGTGCGCGCGCAGGCTGTTCGCGCGATCGACGTCCACTACAAATGAGCATAGTGGCGAATGATTTAGTTTTTGTAGGGTACAGAGCAGAGCGAATTTCGCTCTTGTCTGTTCAAGATAGGCGCATTACGCAGCGGGTCGTCCAGTTTTGTTTCCGCCCGAAGATCGACCCAAATGCATGCGATGGGTGGCCGACTTGAAGCAGTCGGCCAATAGCCTGGCCATTCTATTCAGAACGGATGTTCGCCGGGCGGAAATAAAGTTTCATGGGGTGTCGCTGTTCCCGCGAGCCTCGACGCAACCCCTTCGCTCCGCATTCGGCAAGAGGCAAGGAAGTTTAGACAACACGCTCACCAGCGAAACGTTATGTCAACAGACAGAAGGCAGAAGAGGGGTAACAGAGTGCAATCATAGACAGCAAGCGTAGCCGTGGGCAGCAGCAATAAATTTATAGCCACGGTGGTACATGGCCGATCGGCCTGCCTACCAGTCTGCCCCTCTGGGCCTCCGGCACCCCCACGCCCCTCAGTCCTCAGTCGTCGGCCACCCGGCTACTCGGTCTTTGTTTCGCCATTTTCACCGTTGTCGGCTTCCGCTGCTGTGCGTCAGACCATTGTTCGTGCCTTGCTGTGTTTTATGTGTGTTTGCTTTCACACTTCCCCTTGCCCGCTCTGTACGTTCTGGAAGTACACCCAGGAATACGGTGCAGAGAGTGGGGGGGTGCCTGGTCGGCGAGAACCCTAAACGGAATCCTCTGGCATTGTAGGAGGGTGTGGGAAGCCTTCGGCTGGTCGTAGTCGTAGTTGTCTCTCTCCGCAATCGTGGCACATCCTCTTTTCCCCTGGTTTTTCCGGTTATATTTTGTTTTTCTTCCGAAGTGGCACGTACCCCAGTCTTCGATCTAGCGCCAGCGGGACACGAGCCCCCACGGGGCCCAGTTTGGTATCACAGAGGACGTACTGTACACTTTGTGAGTTTCCTTACGGCGTCATGTGTGTCCAGTTGTGTAACCACAGGCTCCTACGGACCTTTTGGAATAGGGAGCTAGTATTGTGACGAAAACATGTTCCACGCAACCTTGTAAGAATCAGGTTCATGGGTTCGAGCCCCGGCGAAGCGAATTGTTTTCTCACATTCGTTCCTGGAAAGTTGAAATCGATTTCGTTGGTACATATCCTTCGACTTCATTTTTGACAAGGGTGGGGATTGTTGAACCCAGCTCGCAATCAAAACCTCGGAAGACAGGCACCGCAGGAGGGGGTCCAATCCCCTGACCCCGGTTGGGTCTAGCTAGTCGTAGTGGAGGATGGGGGCCAGTGGGGCAGACGACAGAAAGCCAAAGAAGTGGGAGGGGGTAAAAAAGCAACAATAGTATAGGAGAGCAATATTGACAAGACTCTCATCACCGGTGGCAGGCTCCGTCTTCCACGCGCAACTTTATCTTGCTCGTCACAACTTGAACCCATGGACAGCGTTAGATCGAACAATTTGGTGATTAGACTATATGTATCGTACAAGGCTCTACAAAGACCGGCAACGTAGAGCATCTCATGGAGGGAATGAGCTCCATCCACTGATTTGGAGAAACACTGTGTAACTGTTGTTCGTATTCGGGCGCATACTTCGCTTCGTTTTGGCTTACTCTCCTATGTTGATGCGGAACAAGGTCGTCGATGTAAAGTGGAGTACAGGCCGTAGCCGAAGCATGATGCAGCATGCCCATTACCAGAAGAAGAGAAGCAGAAGAGGATTAAAGGTGTGTACTCGGCCATCCATTCCGGTAGGAGATTCCTCGTGGGAGCAGAACACCAGAACCAACAAACGAAGCCGCGGGAGCACCAACTCACCACTGGCTTCGCCCCCCTAGCGGCACCGACAGCAGCAGTAGCTGCAGCAGTATACGGGCGGGCGGTAGTGGCGGTAACACCAGCTGGCCACAAACATGTGTGAGTGGAAGTACCGATGTCGTGCAAAGTGGAAGTCTCGAAGGCTGGAGGTTTGTTAAGCTTAAAGTGCCTTTGACGCGTTACTGGATTGTTGTCGTACCTGCTCTCTTAATCCAGCTGGCCTTGAACGCTTGATCATCCACCATTGAACACCGTTTCACCAGGCCTTGGCAAAAGCATTTCGAGGTACATTTTCAGGCAAACAAATCCAAGCGCTGTCGTTTGCTCTCGCAGGCTGAGTAGACACCATCAGGTGCTTGGGCGGACTTTCCGAAGAACTGGTGGTGCGGATGGCCTTTCTTTGCCTTGAGAACTATTTCTGATATAACCATGAGCATGCGTTCCGGGTGATGTGGTGAATGCGTATTGATATACTGCGTCACCCACACCACGCACATTGTGGTATATGTGTGGTTCGATACGATGTACGGTTTCAGGTACACGGTGTGCGGATCGGAATCGTTTTGGGATTGTGATGTAGTCTATTCAATGGCAAACGTTTGGCGATTGCGGTAGTAGTTGTGCTACCCACGGACGGACTTGTTTTTAACCTCGTTTCGTAAAAACCGTTAGTTGGCTACGTGCCTGAAACATCCGAATGGCCTCTGTTGTTTGTCGGCCGAGCGGGTGTGGCAAGTATTGGCTCAGCACCGCGCAATGATGTCACGGCCATAAACTCACACCACCTTGTTCATTACATGTATTTAAATTAAAGGTGAAGATACAAGCACTCGCATGCACGGGCATGGAGTTGGCTACGTGCCTGAAACATCCGAATGACCTCTGTTGTTTGTCGGCCGAGCGGGTGTGGCAAGTATTGGCTCAGCACCGCGCAATGATGTCACGGCCATAAACTCACACCACCTTGTTCATTACATGTATTTAAATTAAAGGTGAAGATACAAGCACTCGCATGCACGGGCATGGAGTTGGCTACGTGCCTGAAACATCCGAATGACCTCTGTTGTTTGTCGGCCGAGCGGGTGTGGCAAGTATTGGCTCAGCACCGCGCAATGATGTCACGGCCATAAACTCACACCACCTTGTTCATTACATGTATTTAAATTAAAGGTGAAGATACAAGCACTCGCATGCACGGGCATGGAGTTGGCTACGTGCCTGAAACATCCGAATGACCTCTGTTGTTTGTCGGCCGAGCGGGTGTGGCAAGTATTGGCTCAGCACCGCGCAATGATGTCACGGCCATAAACTCACACCACCTTGTTCATTACAGGTATTTGAATAAAAGGTGAAGATACAAGCACTCGCATGCACGGGCATGGAGTTGGCTACGTGCCTGAAACATCCGAATGGCCTCTCTCTGTTGTTTGTCTGCCGAGCGGGTGTGGCAAGTATTGGCTCAGCACCGCGCAATGATGTCACGGCACATACACTCACACCTTGTTCATTACAGGTATTTAAATAAAAGGTGAAGATACAAGCACTCGCATGCACGGGCATGGTGTACCCGCCACAAACGTTATCTGCTGCAGATTGTTCTCGGTTTTAGGCAGAGCGGTAGAGAGTTGATTGTTTTTGGGAAGCTTGGGAGACTGTGGAAGGAACGGAATACTCAGATATTTAAGCGCTTGTGCGCGCATTGAGCCACTCTTCGAGTCAGTTGCCACCGACTGCTGCAGTTGTACGCACTGCTGGTGCTTTGGATCGAGATATCATCTTTAAGCCGCTTGGTTTGGCGTGTAGTCTCCGTGTGCATCTCGGCGACAAGTCTGGCGTATTCCGCCACCGATGTCTGCAGTGTTGAAAACATTTTGCGTAGGACCGGAGGCGGTGATGGTATCGTACGGTTCAGGGTTTGCCGATGCTGCCCGTCCCTAACGGGAATAATTTTCAGCCGGGTGCCGGAGGAGGGTGCTTCCACTTTGAAAGGATTGGGCACTGTGCATCCACGCAGTCAAGTGTGGCTCTGCTTCGTGTACCATGTCCTGGAGATTTTTAGTCGCTTTGTCTCTCTGTCCATGCTATGTACCCTTAGTGATGCGGGCGTGGTTTTTCTTGGGTGTTGCCATATCTCTGGGGAAGTCGGTGCTTCATATGCATAGTATGGATGGCGGCCCTGAAATCGGGGGGTCACGTAGTATGCGATACCGCCCACAAAGCTCTGGGGGATTTCTGCTTTCGGGTGAATGAAGAAGCTGGTTGCCATGCCCTTCTTGGACTCCGTCATGGACGGGACGGTAGCGTTCGCGTCCGTGCTGACGCTGACCCTCGTGGAGTTCATTGCGTGCTTGGTAATATACCGATTGTACAGGAACGATGATCTCACCTCCCGCGTGCGGCTGGTGCTAACTGTGGTGGCCGTGAGTTGCATGGTGGGTAAGATGTGTTTGGCGCTGGTAGCGATATTCCCACTCATTAAGGATCGAGATGGCTCGGAAGGTCAAGGGGATGCTGTTGTTGGTGAAGGCGGAGGTGGCGCACCTAGTAGGGGTGGGGGGACGGGTTGTTGTGTAGTCACGGACGAATCTGTAGCAGGGTCGGAGATGACGGGAATGAAGGACGCAATGGTTGAGTGTGGAGTAGCACCGCTGGAGGGAACGCAGCTTCAGTCTACCACACAAGCCGTGTCTACATTGGCAACTGCCGTGGCGAGCGGAGACACCAAGGTAGAGAGGACATCGTAGCGTCTGTGTAGGGCGTGATTGTTTTTTCGGCTCGGAACCATTTTTGGTGTCTCAGAGTGGTGATTTGAACGTTGCACATTTGAATATATTTCGCTGAGAGCTCTCACCGTGTATGTCGCGAACAAATCGTATTTTGAACATTTGGCAGGCGGGTGTTGTCTCTCGTCATCTATGGAGCAAAATCTATGCTGCGCGCACGACCTTCCAAACCAGTAGGTACGGGTTTTATTTACCCACACGATACCCATGGCTCATCGCAATCGACAGGTACATTTCGCGGAGTGTACCTTTGACCTCCGTGGCCAGTTGGTTTATTTCAGGGTACACCTCGGTACTAGTTTTTTAGGCGGATCCAGGCGGGGCGGTACTGCAAAGTGGCGGTATTTTTTTGGCGGTTGGCGGTATTTCGTTTTCCGGCGGTACCGCCTTTGGCGGTTCCCGGTACCACCCGAATGTGGCGGTACTTTTTTGGCGGTACTGCAAAGTGGCGGTATTTTTTTGGCGGTTCCCGGTACTTCGTTTTTTCGGCGGTATTTTTCTGGCGGTACTGAAATATGGCGGTACCGTCTCCGGCGGTTCCCGGTACTGCCAAATATGGCGGTTTTTTGGTGGCGGTACTGAAATATGGCGGCACCGCCTTCGAGGGTTGCGAGTAGACCAGAATATCAAAATATAAAATATAAAATATAAAATATGGCGATGCCAAACTACATTTCGGTGCCCTTGGCGCCCCATCAACCGGCGAACCTCTTTCCTCTCTTTCAGGATGGGTCGCTTTTTGTCTCTT